AATTTAGTACCGATTAAAAAACAAAAGTAGAAAAAATTAAAAACAAAAAAGGTTGGCACCTGTCAGAAGGCCAAGGAGCTATCCCAACTCGTGCAGAGTTGAGAACGATCACCTGCTACCCAAATCCAAGCTAGGATGTGGCTACTAATCAACAAAAGTTGAGAACTCTGGACCCACCATTTACAGCGAGTCATTCAGGTGTCGACCAACAAAAGTTCTTGAGAAAATGGAACTAGATCTTGTATTTTTGAATTTAGCACCGATTAAAATTTAGCTACCCAATCTAGGTTGTAGGACCAAGCTGCTAATCAACAAAAGTTGAGAATTCTGGACCCACCATTTACAGCGAGTCATTCAGGTGTCGACCAACAAAAGTTCTTGAGAAAATGGAACTAGATCTTTTATTTTTTAATTTAGTACCGATTAAAAAACAAAAGTAGAAAAAATTAAAAACAAAAAAGATTGGCACTTGTCAGAAGGCCAAGGAGCTATCAACAAAAATTCTTGAGAAAATGGAACTAGATTTTTTATTTCTTTTGAGTAAAGGATTCGGAGGTACTTCCCTATAAAACAGATCCTGTTCGAGTAAGGTCGTGCTCTTTCCCTTAAACCTCAGCTCTTTATTTCGTTCATAAAGCTCTGAAACGTCCGGTGTGGGCACTTTTCTTCCTCAATGAATTAATTAAACATCCTTCTAAAAAGCCACATTCACTTCTGCTCCGATGTTACCCCAAAGGCCGCTCATCCATGTGCAATTGCATAATCTCCTCTATGTCATCACATTCCCATATGATTCTACACCTTTTAAATCCCAAACATTTAATTTTTGTGATTCTAGTATCTATCTACTCCTCCCTCTCTTTCAAACTATTTGTCCTAGTTTAATTTTTGTACTAACTTTGAATATAAACTATGAGATTAAAAATATACATTTACTTACTTCCTCCGTCCCAATTTTTAGTGCCTGTTTTGTTTTTCGATGTGTGACTGAAATTATTTTCAAATCATTTTATATGACAAATGGTATAGAGTTAAAAAATAAAAATCACATATCATAATACTACATCAAAAGATCTACAAAACTAGTAGTGATAATAGTATTTTATTTTATCAAATTGCTAACCAAAATAGAGAAAGAAAGTGAATGAAGTTTGACCCTATGAATAGTGAACATGCATTATAAATTGGGACGAAAAAAGTATAATTTAGCGATAATATGATTTTGATTTATCAAATTTCTATACATATTGTTTATTTAAAAATATATTTAAGTTTTGCCAAGGTTAGCAATAAAAATCAAAAACACTAAAATTTAGTTCTTTTTTCTTCACAAGTTGCTCTGATTGAATTCTATATGACACGATGTAAATGAGTCAAGCTCTATTGAAGATCTTTGTGAATACACCCAAATTACTAAAAGAGATAATGTTTTTTATTTGGGAATAGTGGACTGACTAATCACAAGTTCTAAGATACCATTGGGTGTTGCAGATGATCATTCTCAACTCTTACGGGGTTTGAATGGCTCCTTGGCCTTCTGACGGGTTCTAACTTTTTGTTTTTATTTTTTCTTCTTCTTTTAATTGGTGTTAAATTCAAAAGTACTACTCACTCCATCAAATTGGGATTTACGAGGAGAAATATTTCACTTTTTGAAATCATTTTATTTACACATCGGTATATCGAAAAGAAATAAAATTACATATTACGGAGTAAAAAACTACGTCAAAAGTTCTACAAAACAAGAGGTGACAAGAATATTCTATTTTATCAAATACTTAATGAAATCGCATAAACAAACAAAAGTTATCGAGATGAGAGAGAAAATAATTGTAATCAAATGGGGGACGGAGGGAGTAAAATTTAGTTCTTTTTTCTTGACAAGTTTTGTCGATTGAATTCTATATAACACGTTGTAAATGAGTCAAGCTTTATTGAACATCATTGCGAATAAACCTATATTACTAAAAGAGATAATGTTTTTTGGGAATAGTGGGCTGAGTAATCGCAAGTTCTGAGGTATCACCGGGTGTTGCGGATGATCGTTCTCAACTCTTATGGTATTAGGATGGCTCATTTTCCTTCTGACGGCTTCATATTTTTTGTTTCTATTTTTTTCTTTTGTATTTTCCATTAATCTAAAAATTAAACATACTAAAATTTACTTCATTTTTTTCTTGGCAAGTTTTGTTAATCGAATTCTAAATGACATGATGTAAATGGGTGGAACTCTATTGGACATCAATGCAAATAGACTCATTCAGTGGAGGAGGTTACATTTTTCAAAATAGGGTACTGAGCAATCGCAAGTTCTAAGGTAGCATGATCGTTCCCACCTATAATGATTATTAACAACGTATGAAAGAAATTAATTAAGAACAAATTCAATTATTTGTAATGTATGATAAAATCAAAGAAAAAAATCACATGAATACTTCAAGAAATGAGTGATTTTACTTAATACTCCAAAATTCAATTTATTCTTCGAACAATTATTAATCAAATCATAATTTATAAATTTTGACCTCAAAGATGATTAAAGTTATAATTATGAAACGTACAACATGCCAAATATGGCATCCACATCAATCAATTAAATGTTAATATGTCTCAACATATTTGAAAAGGACATACAGTATTTTGTTCCACTACAGCTCTAATCAAAATTCAAAGTTACCAAGTTGTGATGTGAAGAGAAGTTGTCTATTGAAAATCTTCCGTTGGCCACATTTACTAGTAAATGGGAACCAATATGAAGGAATCGAGGAGGCAGCGATGGAATCCACGCAAAGAACCTTAGCCACCACCCATCCCTCGAGCGCATGTCTCACCCAGATGATTGGGGGCATTTGGCGTTGCTTTTCATCCCAACTTTGGGTTCACATACATTGCCAATGGAGCTATAAAAAAAGTCACTTTAACAGCATTTTCGTATGAGATAAGTAATGGGTTAAATCCAAAAGGGCACATTAGACTTTTCATGCTTCATACTTCTATGGTTCTATAAAATTTTGGCAGTAAATGCATCCAGCGTCTAGCGGAAACAGCCTCTTTTCTTTTTACAGAGGTAATGTCAGACTATGCAATATGTTTTGATGCTCAAAGACTATGCCACTAGTTGTGAAGTTCAATGGTTATGAAGCTCAATCAGAGTAATCCACTTGCTTCCTGTTACGAGTTCTTTTCAACGTTGTGAGATGTGTATAATGCTATGCATGCAAAGTAGGGTTTAAGACTTTCTGTGGTATGTCAAATACCTGATTCAGTCTGCTCTCGATCTTCATTGAAAATTGCATTCTCTGTTCTGAAGCAAATAAAATCTAGTCAACGTCACAGTGGTATAACATTTAGCAACATAGGAATTAAGGATCATCATATAAGAGAATCGTAGGCAGAAGAATGAAACTCTATGCCCTAGGACCGACATTTAAAAAAATGATTTTTATCTTGAGTTCAGAAATGCCTATGCCTTTGAAAGAACATGTCAACATGCAACAATGCTGCATAGTCTAGCATCATGCCATCATCAACCAGCCACAAATGACAAAAATTCAATATATCCTTGGGGTATCCCCGCAAGAAATTTTCCTTCTTAATAAGAATTTAACGACAACTAAGTGTGACTACCACCATTAAAAACTTATTACCAAATTGCAACTTTTAAAGTTTGGTCAAGTAGAACTATCATACATCATGGATCATGCTTGACATTTGAAATTTTCTTTGTGGTTCAATTGCATTTTTCACGACTCTTTGTACAAATTACAGGAATAATGGGCTTGTTTTCACCAGAATAAAGTCTTTTCCTGGGACAAATTTATGTTTGAAACAAAAAAAATTTAAGCAAATATGAAGTATTATGTAAAGGGAAGTTGGTGAAACATACCCATTTCCTCCATTATTCAACGTGTGTAGTCTGTCAGACTCGGTTTTGTACTGACATTTTTCGCATGACTTTGCACTACTTGCCGGGAGCCTTCACGAGAACATCTCTATTCCTTGGGGCAGATGTAAGGCTTGCATCCCCCCCCCCACCCCCCACCCCACAGACAACACAGATCTTACTTAGCGAGTTATGCCAGGTATGTTTGGTTTGGTATGTGTAGTCTGTCAGAGACTCTGAGCAACCATTTATAGATTAGAAATGGAAGAAGAATAGGGTAGGGAACTTCATATATGGAGGTGCATAGATAACTCGATAAGGCTTTTCAAATAGAAAGTGAAAGTTAAAACTTATCGTCAGGCGCAAAGCCCCTTAGGAGCATTTCATCATGAAATACGAAAGCCTCCTTCAAGTTCTCCTGTGATACATGTCCATTTATCAATGATGCATATGTTGACCGGTCTGGATTTATGCCCCTCCCTATCATTTTCCTAAACATCAAATTGGCTTCTTCCATTCTACCCGCCCTACAAAACGCACCCAGAATGGCATTGTATGCTACCACATCAGGAAGTATTCTCTTATTTTCCATTTCATAAAATAAGTTAAGCGCTCTGTCCACTCGATCCTCCCTAATCAAACCATGTATTAGAGTATTATATGTAACTGAATCTGGAAAGACTCCTTCAGAGTGCATCTTGTTTAGAAACTCCCATGCTTTCTCAGCATTACCATATCTGCAATATCCTTTAACAAGGGAGTTGCATGTGACAATGGTGGGCTTAATGCCTAAACCGACCATCTCTTCAAACAATCCCAATGCATTATAAATGCAACCCTTGTTGCAATAACCATTTATTAAAGTGCTATATGTAATACAATTAGGACATATGCTTTCAGAAATCATATGATCTCTTAGTTCAAAAGCCCTTTTCATATCACCAGCCTTGCAAAACCCATCAATCAAGGCATTATATGTTACGACATCGGGCTTGAGGTTTCTCTGAAGCATTGAATCGAACAGTGACATTGCCCTCTCCATATTACCATCCTTGCAATATCCATTCATAAGTGTTGTGAATGTGCAAAAATCTGGAAACACTCTCCTCTCAACCATCTCATTGAACATCAGATCAGCCTCGGAGAGCATCTTTTCTCTGCATAAGCCACTCAGAAAAGTATTGTAAGTAACTACATCCATGGGCAAACCTTGAGCTGACATTTCATCACGCATCTTCAAAGCTTCAGAAATGGAACGGTTTCTACAAAAGCCACTAATAAGAAGAGTATAAATCACATTATCTGGAACAATCCCCTTTAATTTCATATCCTTGAAATACTCTAATGAACGATCAAGACATCCAATTCTTGAAAACAACCCAATTATTGAACTATAACTAAGCAAATCAGGAAGGACACCAAAACGAGCCATTTCGTTGAAAATCGCTTCAGACTCAGACATGTTACCTTTTCTACAACACTCGGCAAGCAATGCATTATAACAAGAAGGGCCAGGATTGAAACCACTAGCCACCATCTGGTTCAAAACACCCCTTGCCTTTTGATACTGTCCCTTCTTACATAGTCCTTTAACAATGGAATTATAGGTCAACAAACACGGTTTCAATCCCTTGAGGGACATCGCATTCATCAATTCAAAACCATCATCTAGAAGACCCTTACGACAATATGCACTAACCAGAGTGTTGTAAGTCACAATATCACCGAAAATCCCTTTTTCATCCATTTCATCAATAAACAACCTCGCATCTTCAATTTTCCCTACTTTACAAAAGGCATTAACCATTATATTGAGAGTATACACATTCACTGGAACGTCATTCCCGATCATTTCCCTGTACACTTCCCAGGCCAAATCAACCCATTCAATCCTGACTAGGCCTCCGAGAAGACTATTACAAGCATTTATAGTAACACAAAACCTTCTGCTCAGCAACAACCGAAAAGCTTCCACAGCTTCCCTCAACTTCCTAGCCTGCACATAGGTCCTGATCAACAAATCAAAAGCATACAGATCCGACCCACAAATATTGTAAGCGCAGGCCAAGGATTCAACAGTCTCGGCCCTAGAAACACCACTCTTTCGAACCATCCTCAGTATCAAAGCCTGCGCTTCAGAGATTCTCTGGCACCTGACGAGTATATGAACGGCGGCGCTGAGGGAGGTGGGTGAATGCTTGAAATTGGGATTGTTTCTCGAAACCGAGTCGACGAATTTCGACGCAAAAGGCAAATTATGGCGACATTTGCTAATAACATCAAGATAAACGGATGCGTTTAGGCGAAGAAACAGGGAGCTCCGAGAATGCGTGCCTCGTTTGAGAGTCAACATAATCTTCTCGACAAGGAAGGTGTCGGCCGAGTTCGCAATTGAATCTGGGGATTCATTTGAGGGCTCCGAGAAGGGAAGATCAACTGGAGACGGTGGTGGCGATGCCTTGAATAACGGCTTCGTTCGGCGGATGAGCGGCCTTTGAGCTGACATTGGGGAGGAAGTGAATATGCAATTGCCACAGGCGGTGACAAAGTCTCCTTCATTGAAGAAGTTCAGGAGGGATTTAGCTTGACGAAATTTACCCACACCGGATGTTTTAGAGCTTTATAAGCGAATAAAAAACCCGGTTCAAATTTTTTTGTGTTTAGTTTTTTTCTTCTTGTAACTGTAAAATTCAAAATACTAAAATTCAGTTCTTTTTTTGAAAAGTTTTGTTGATTGAATTCCAAATATCACAATACAAATGAGTCAAGCTCTATTGAATGCCAGGACAAATACATCATGAAAAATGATATTAGATATTGATATAAAAATAATTTTGTTAGATTTATTATATCAAATATTTTCAATATATCATTTTATCTAATTAATATACAATATATATTTTATTTAATTATAGGTCAAAGGTTGAAAACAATTGACCGAAAAAAATCAAAACTGAACAAATACCAAATGATGAAGGTAATATTAACTATCGAAGTGTTAACTTAAAATCATTCCTTTCCATGAGCATTCAATGTTTTGTTTCCTATTATAAATTGTAGTTCATGCGTCCTAAAATTAACTTTTTGTTTTGGTTTACGAGGTTTGACCGTGAAATTATTTTCAATTCAAATTATTTGATTATAAGTGTAAAATTTTAAATTAAAATTTATATATTTAAAAATTATATCAAAAATTTTACAAAACTAGATGTAGCATGGCTATATTAATTTTTTCAAATAATTAATGAAAATATGGAAAGCAAGTAAATAGAGTTTAACTGCATGAATAATTTCTGGAAAGATAGTTTTAAAACAGAAAGAGTAACACTTTTTATTTTTGATATTTTGAGTCAGAAGTCTCTTGAAAATAGTCTCTCTTCTTTTCAGTAAGAGTAAGGGGCTGTTTGGCAACTTCTGAATGGGTAAGTGTTGAACCAGTAAGAGGTCTGAACCATTAAGTGCTGAACCAGTAAGAGGTCTGAACCATTAAGAGCTAGTATATTGCTTAACTATTCAGAGGCAAATGTCTGATCAATTAAGATAAGAGGTCTTAACCATTCAGACTATGTATAATACTTAACCATTCAGAGGCAAATCTCTTAACCATTCAGATATCTAAACCATTAAGAGGCTGAAATAAACAGTCTGAACCATTAAGTGCTGAACCATTAAGAAGCTGAAACAAACAGCCCCTAAGGTGTGCGTACAGTCATACACACATCCAATAATACAAAAACTCTAAAATCCCTGATGACAAAGAGTAAAACCTTAAACTTAGAACAAAAATCCAATAATACACAACCATAAACTAATCGTTTAAAATACATGTTCTTTATTTAATTTTATACGGAGTATGTTTTTTTAGTGCAAGCCATGAGAGGTTCCATATCTTCGTTTGTCTTGCGGAGAGAATCCACCTGACTAAGGGGGTGTTTGTTTTTTCTGCAGGAAAAGGTTTGCAGTCTGCGGACCACTACTGTAGACATCTGCAGGAGAAGTGGTGGACCGAAGGTCTGCGGTCTGCAAGAAGAAGACTGTTTGTTTTTTAATGTCTGTAGACTGCTATATAAATTAATGGTGGTAGTGTACGGTGGTGGTGTTTGGACGATTGTGGTGGTGGTGGANGGTGGTGATGGTAGTGGACGGTGGTGGTGGTGAAGAGAAGTAGAAGAAAAAAATGGAGAAGATGTTAGAAGATGTTAGAAGACATAGGTTAATATCTTCTCCAAGAAAATGCCAGGAAGACCTTTTTGAGTGAAATGTCTTCCAAAAAACAAACAATCTGCAGAGCTCAGCATCTGCGCGCGTCTGCGCGGCGCATACAAAAGAGGCCAGAAGCTCTTCTGGCCAAAAAACAAACACCCCCTAATTCTCGTTCACTCTAAGAGGCAAGGGAGCTTGTCCAAGGAGAATTGTCGCCTATGAAGTACGGAGTATATCTTTCTTTTTGTTTTCTTCTTTTTTTAGCATGTACTACATTTGTTGCAAATTAAACTTCTCACTTTGTTTAGTGAGAGAGGGGTGCATGCTAATTTTCTTTATTTTGTTTTTCATTTGTTTAGTTCTGTCATAAATAGAAATACTTTTCGAAAGTATAATAGAAAATAACTGAACGAATTATAGAAAGACGAACAAAAGGATATAGCATTCAAAAAACATAATTTCTAATAATCAATTTAAAATTTAATATAATTGATGGTCAAAATTCACCGAATTTTAGTCAAAAAAAGTCAAATTGGACGATACTCTGGGACAGAGAGAGTAATAAGCAAATTGATAATCAACATGCACATGAAAGCAGAACACTAAATGAGCTTGTTCGTGAACAAAAAAGAGTGGGACACCTGATAAGTTCTGTTTGGTTTCATTAATAGGCGAGCTCAAAAGATTGTTTATGTGCAATAAGACAACTCGCTCATGGAAAACCAGTTCATTCAATCTAATACTAACAATCAGAAAGCGTACCTTCTTCTTCCTTGACTCCGAATGCCTTTGTTTGATTTGGTTCTTCATCCTTGACTCGGAATGCCTTCGTTTGCTTTGATCCGATGCTTCGTTTGGGTAAATTGCCATCTCTTGGAACCCCGAGAGCATTAGCAAACAATCTCTTTGCGGCTCCCATATGCTGCTCTTTGATCAAGTCTTCGTTTCCCATCTTGCCCTCACTCTTTACTTCACTCAGAGTACCAGCACTTGTGTTGCCCATGGGCATTTTCGTCTCCGTCCCCTCTTCTTCCTTCACTCCATCCGTGACTTCGCCTCCGCTAGACGGTCTGATCTGCTGACCGAGTGCATGACCAATCATTCTGCGGGCCACCTCAAGATCCGTCTTTGGCCTCTCTGTCATACTTCCTGCCGTGTTTCCATCAGTTGAAAATATCCGCTGGCGTGCAGCAAGATATGCAGCTTCTTTCTCTTCAAGCGAAGTGAAAATGAATGCCTCTGGATTCCCTGCCTGTGGAGAGCCTGTGGTGAAATAAATGTAAAACGCATCAAGTTCTCGCATTCCAAGAATTCAGCTACCTAACAAGCTTTAACACCGTTTGGTTCAAGGAATAAAATAGTGAGGAGAATAAGGAAAGTTTGGAAGGAAATAAAATCTGTAGGGGAATAAAAAAGAGAGCCCTGCCAATGTCATAATATGAAACCGATCCATTTGAAGGCCTTAAGGTGCTCCGTCGGCCAGAAGTGGTTCTTACCCCCTACCCCTCAGTGGGTGACAGTCCATTGTCAATGTTTGAAAATGGATTGTCACCCTTTTTTTTTGGGGGGGGGGGCGGGGGGGGACTTTGGGGTCGAGCCATGAATATCGTAGGACCCTCAAATGGACTGGTCTCATAATATTTTCCGGTCCGAAATGAAACCCGAGTATACATTGCAAGATAAACCATATATTCAAAAAAAATACCATTTTAACTTGGCTTTTTTTCATTTGCATACTGTTTTCCAAGTTTGAAATGCAACCCAAGTATACACTGCCAATGGCAATGTTTTCTTGAGTGCTGTATTTGCCAAAGACAAACATTATACAACCTGCACTTTCTTGCTTCCTTGGTAGTATTTCAAAATTCCATGGAGATAGCACTTCACCATGTTCCCTTAGAACGTCTCTGACAAGGACGGGAGGGCTGCACTTTTAAAAATGTCAGAAAATGAGAGATAGTCAACAACAACAACAACAACAATAACAAGCCAGTTTGATCCCACGAGAGTAGGGTCTGGGGAAGAAAACGAGATATGGTCATACTGAGAAATCTAATGATCACTCACTCCTGCACCCAAGACCAAGTCTGAAGCACTGGGAAGAACACAATTGTATGAACCACTAAAGAAAATTTATTTAAAATATGAATTCAGTTAAGGGAAAAATCCAAGAAACAAAGACTATCAATTAGCAAGCATTATATAAGTTGGGAGTCGAGCTTTTTCACGTACATCGATGTCTCAGGGCATCGCTCCACAATTAAGTGCCGATCATCCCCTTCACCTTCTGAATGATGAGACAGTCTACCAAGAGAAGACAATAATGATTAGCACTAAACAAGGTAAATCAACAGCACAGTCATTATGAAGCCACATTGTCAGCATATGTGCATTTCATGCATGTGGCCTAGCAAAAAAAAAACATGGTAAGTTGGTAACAGTTACCACTTACCCAAAAATATCAGAAAGCCGATGTATAAGATGGCGACAATATGGATCCATAGGTTTCAGCTCCAGCACCCCATTTGAACTGCATAACAATATTTAGTTAGAAAGTTTTACAAAGACACTAACAGCACATCTTTCATTCTCTTTCTACACCTTGTATAAGTGCTAGAATGACAGTGAATAAACATACAGCCATACAGAAATATACTCAGATATGGTAGCCCTTTTTTCATGGTTTAATGCAAGGTATAGCATTAGCTTGTCCTTTAAATACATTTCCATCATAGTGCAAAATAAAGAAATCACACCTTGTTGCCACAAATATAGAAAAATCTAGTGCTATAACCCCATCCGAGGTTTCAACTTTCAAATTGAAATTCTTCACAACTCCAGAAATGTTCTTCCTTCAATAGATATGGAGCACAATAAAGATGAACTCTGTAGGGAAATTTTCTCCCTTCCTTTCAAGTATAAATTTTAGGTTTCTATTTAAAGCATCTTCATGTAATTATCTGTCCTTCTAAGCTTTAACATTTTCTTCTTAATAAAGTTCCACTAAACTTCACAGATAATATTGTTTCGCATTCTGATATTTAAATTAAATAAAAAAGTAAACAACTTATAGTTCACAGCTGATCTGCACTAAACCTCCATATAGTTTGCATACCAACCTAGCATGCCAATTACTTAGTTAGAGGAATTATGTTTTTTTTTGCATAAAGGTTAGTGTTAAACCAGTTAAAATTAGGCTATGCAACATAAAATAAATCAATATTTCAATCTGTCAAATGCATATAACATGTCAGTCTCCATCAAACCGCAATAGTCTAATTACTCTAATGGTAAGATGCCTCTCCTTCTTGCAAGAGGTCCCAAGTTCTAGACTTCTAGTTTCATTGGGTACAGCATATGCAGCCAATTTCACATGTCATTATAACAGGTAACGCACATTTGTTTAAGTGAAGTTAATATGGTGTAATGAAGTTAAATAGTGGTCATCCATCTCTGGTAATCCTTCTGTTCATAAAAACGTAAATACAAAATAATTAAGTCTGGCTCAAACCACAAACCTCCAAACATTGTGTACTCCTCATACAAATATGAAAAGTAACCACAAACGTACCTCGTATCGTCCTGAAGAAAATTAATGAAGGCCTCTTCCATAGATAGAATAAGGTGCTTGCAAGAAAGATTGTCCTTAACAGTGAAAGCTAACTTCTCAACCTGCATTTATAGTTCCAAATTTAATAATAAAATGCTTCTTTCTCTTCAAGCGAAATTGGAAGCTAATGTCTCTGGATTCTCTACCTCTGTACCTGAGGCAAATAAAAACACATAAAGTTCAGCATTCCGGCCTTTTCAGCTTGAGATGAAAAATGAATGTGTTGCAGCACCAAAATGGAAGAGTTCTGAATCTCTTATCTCTTGTCATTGAATCTCTATTCGCATTTTCTAAATGTACCCCACCATTGCAAAACGGAGAAAGCATTTGTCTTTTTGCAACTAAAGTATATGGGATGATGGTTCACGCTTAGAGTTCATTTAATTTATGCATGTCTCATACTCTAAGAGTTGATGAAGACCCTATAGAAGCATGCCAGTATGCAACAGTATATATTTTAAAACTATTCTAGAGACTTCTAGATCACAACAAGACGAAAAATCCCAACAACTCTTTCATGAAACATTATACAGTGCCAATGGAAAGAAACATGCCAGAGTATATATTACCAATATAGAAGACTAAAAAAAGACATTGTACCATCTTCATCTTCTTGATATTTAGACCGTTTATTCAGAAACTTCAATTCACCATACTTCAACAGTAAATCTCTTACAAGGGTAGAAGGGCTGCAAGTAAAATTCCTGTTAATGTCAGAAGGCTGAAATCCAAAAACAACCAACTGTTTTCAGTATTGGTTCCATATATAAAGCACCACAAAAGATTCAGCTTTGTTCCAACTTAGAATTCTCCGCCTAAAATTCAGGTGCTTTCACTGAAAGGCTTTCAGGATACAATTGGAATGAAAATCAACAAACAAAAATGTAACTAAAAGTAGAAACTTTTTTGTACTCCCTCCATCCGGAAATGATTTCATCAACACTATTCACACGGTCAAACTTTATTTACTTGGTTTGCTTATTTTCACTACTCATTTCATAATATAAATAGTCACGTCACCTCTTGTTTTGATTTTTGAAGAACTTTTTATATAGATTTTAAATATATACACTTTATTTTTGAATTTTACACCTACAATCAAATAAATTCAAATGAAAATAAAGTCAGTCAATCCTCGTCAACCGAAATGGGAAATTCAATTCCGGGCGGAGGGAATAACATTTTCCAGGCATTCGTTGCATATTTGCATAAAAAGCTTTCAAAAACTGAGTATACCCAATTAAACTAAAGCATTGACGTTTTGCATCTTTAAGGAATCATTTTAGTATATGTATGCCACCTATATGCATCATCAATTACTTATATATTAGAAAAGGCCCAAAGTTCCCTTTAGAGTAGAGAAGGCATTACAATCCATATCCCTTCATCATTACGTCAAATATATTATACTCTATGATGTCTTAAACCAAGAAAAGTAAGATGAGATATAGTCACAAAAAATCATCTGAGTTTCAAGACTTAGTTAGAGGCATTGGGAGAGATTTAGTTGCATAGACTTGTAAAAGAACATAAGTTTATAATACAAATTAGTTAGGAAGAACCAAATACTATATCTATTTGGAAGAAGTATATTCTTAAGGGTTTAATTTTCACATACATCGATGTCTCAGGGCCTCGCTCCACAACTATGTGCCGATTATTTTCTTCACCTACTGAATGATGAGAAAACCTTGCAGGATAATACAATAATGATGTCTGTGAAACACAAACCAGGCTTAAAAGGGAACATTCATTATAATAGTTACCACTTACCCAAAAATATCAGCAAGCTGATGTGTAAGATGACGATGATATGAGTTCATTGGTTCCAACTCCAACACCTCTTTTGAACTGCATAACCATATTCATTAGGGTTCACTCCAAAGAATCTCAAATTGAATTTCATTACCACAAATGCTCCAAAACAAATTTCATAAGCAGAAAGTGTAAACTGTATATGCGAATTTCTAGCCTACCCTTCAGTTAACACTTTTAGACTTGCATTTAGGGCAGTCTTATTTTACTACACATCATTGATTTCCCGTCTTTTAACAGTTTCCACTTCACTAAAAACTATGAAGCACAGATGCGGGCGCGTCAACCGGTGCGGGTGCACGACTAGTGCACGGGTGCGGAAATTTTCAAGAAAACAGGGTGCGGATGCGGCAAATTTGTTTATACATTTTTTATTTGTATCATTCATTTCTTTGTAAAATACATGTATTTATGTTCAAAATATTCACAAAAAATAACAAGTGTCCTAATTTTAAATAAATTTAACACATAACATCCCACAAAGTACCCAGTTGCACCCAACCCAAGTAAAAAAATTATAGAAAACTACACAGCCGCACCCGCAAGGTGCTTCGTGCGGCTTTTTTTTGAAGCACGCGTGCTTCATAGACTAAAAACAACATTAAAGGAAACAGATAATATAATTTTGCTTTCTGACAATAAAACTAACAGAATAGCATAAAACTAATAAAAGTGGTGGAGAGGATATATGCCAATTTTAAAATCCAACCTAACAGAATAGCATAGTATTTGTAGCATATGTGTTTTTTTTCATCAGTCAAAGGCTCAAAGCTAGGCAAAAAAATTGGGATAGCCCTTACGTTAATCTATCGATTGCACAAAGCAAGCTAAGCTAAAACCAAATGCCCCAAAATACAATGTACATCTCATAACATATCCAATGTGGGGTATATGCCACTATATGGGGTGAGACCACAAAGCACCTCGTATTATCCTGAAGAAAATCAACAAAGGCATCTTCCACGGATAAGATAAGCTCCTTGTTATAAATATTTCCACAAACCTGGTGAGCTAATTCCTGAACCTGCATGTATTTGGTTTCATCACCTTTATAAGTACTTATACAGGCCGAGGTAGACCATGGAAACACATTTGAACAGTTTCTTTGAACTAAAATGCTACTCCCTACGGCCTACGTTTTCGAAAACATTTACACTTTCTATTAAAAAACTACTTTTACACTTACTAATTCGTACCATATCTATCACATCATACTTTTTCACTAATAATTTATACTTGTACTCATCACATCAAGGACAAAAATGTAAAGTCAACTACAAATATACACCGTTTATTTCTCCCATTAGTCAAAATAGGAACCGTTCTGGCAAACGGGGATATGTTTTTTTCCCCTAAGTATCAAAAATCAATATAACCAAAAGCTCGAACTTGCGACTGAAGACACGTTTTAAGCTCTAACACCTCACTTCACTTCATAATTGATTGTTCGAGAAGAGACTAATTATACTCCTTAAATTTTTATAATTAGTAGAAAAATTAGAGATCCTAAGCGATTGATCTTCTCGTAATGAGATTGTAGTACACAGATACAGATACATATAATGGGAGAAACATGAAATTAGAAGGCGGGAGAGAAAGAACTGACCATGGCGTACTCTGAGGAACTCATGGGACTTCTGAATTGGGCCAAGGATTGGAGACTCGGGGTAGGGGGGTCTTCTGAATGCTTGTATAGGGAATGAAGCTGGGATGCACGTGTACAAATACTCACTCTTTTTTACTCCGTATTACTCTTCGAAAAATAATTTTTTGTAGTTAAAAATCTTAAAATTAATAAATTCTAACCATATATTGAATAAAATTAATTGTAAATATTGATAGAAAAAATAATATCTTGTAAATTTTATTCAAAATCTTGTTTTGTTTAATTCATACTTCGTATAATATATAGTCAAATAATGATATCGTTTGACTATAAAAAGTCAAAACTAAACAAACATTCTGGACGTAAAGAATATTTTCTTATTTTTATTAGAACAGATCATATCACTTTTAAAAATTTCATATCAGATTTAATAAATTTAGACAAAGAGAACATGTCCTTAATTTAAGTATTTTATTCTCACAAGAGCTTGAGTATTTAACTTTAACATTTTTTAAAACTATCTTAAGAGTATTCATAATGGCAAAGCAATGCATTGGCTCTTAAAGCCATGTCAGCAAATATCACTCAAACCATATCATTCCACAATCATTCCATCTTACTTTTCATTCCATGTGCAAGACATGACTCTTTCATTTTAAATTTTTTTATTTTTTATATTTTTTAATTTTTTTAATTTTTTTACTTTTTATATATTTTATAAAGAAACATTTTTTTAAAAAGTAGACATATTTTAATAATAAAATAGATGTGTAAAAAAATTTTTAATAATTAAAGTAAAAAAAACGTGTACAAAATTAGTTTTAAAAAAAATGACTTGCTACCATATGTTATAACACTCCACTAGTTGTCACACGCTAACTGAATTACTTTTGATTGGTCGAAATATTTCATGTCACCGTATGATATTCCATTTTTACCTCGTCATTGCTAATGTTCTAATGATTGTGTTTAGTTTTAATTTTTCGAATTGGATCTAGGTCATTAAAAAATTATCGTAATGGCTATATGTTTAACTTTATCATTTTTCAAAAACTATGTATGGACATCTTTAGTTTTAACATTTTTAAATTTAATTTACATTACTAAAAAAAATAATCCAAAACACCTATATTTATTAATGGAAAATGGTATTTCCAAATAACGAATATCTAAGGTTCCGAACTTCCAATGCTCCCCGCATTTTTCTTTTTTATTAATTGTCCACGCGAACAAAAAAACATTGTGTTTATAATTTATATCATGGCAAAATTTGTTTGTGTCACAACTCACAATTTTGTTTATAATTTATATCATGGCAAAATTATATCATAGCAAGTATTACATGTGTCACGTGCGAATTGTTTACGTGAAGTGTAAAAAATAAATAATTTTTTCTATAAATATGAAAAGAAAAATGAGTGATTTTATATTATGTGAACCGCGTTTTGTGTAAAAAAAAATATACACTTTGCATTTATGTATTATATTGTTTTGTTTTCATACAAAATGTTTTTGTGTCCCATACTGTTTATTAACAAGTATTGATTGGGTTACATACGAGTTATTTTGTGAATTAGTATAAAAGTGAGCGATGTAAACTTTTATACAGAATAATTTTTTGATGTATGTTTAATATCGAGTACTTTTTAAGCTCCATCATTTCATTTTTTATCAATTTCAGTTTTATTTCTTTTTTCTTATGGGATTCAACTAGATTGTTGTTGTTTTCTCTTTTTTTTTAAAAACAAAATTAAAAATAAATACGGAGTAGAAGAGATTTAATAGATCATAATAGAAGATAAAAGAACAATAAATTATGCCATTTGTCCTTTTTTAATAGGAGTAATAAAATAAATCTTTTAAAAATTAAATTCATTGGATCATAGAACCATATATTGACACTTTTTGGCCTCAGAACTTTTTGAAACATCTTTTAATTTAATGACACTCTAACCACGAGCTCTTTGGGAACATCTTTTCACTTAAAATTCGTTTCTTTGTCGCTTAAATTAAACATCAGGGGCACATTAATTGTAAATTGGTCAAACATCCATTCCATAATACATCAGTCTAAATTATGCGTAGTTGTGATATAATAATTCCATGATTCACATACCAAATGTAGACCTTCTCAAATATTTTTCATTGGTTTATTTCATTCTTTTTACAATAAGTTCTACCCACCTATGCGAGAAATTTTAGATATAAAAAGTAAAAACTAGAAATCACAATAAAATGCCCCACATACTTATTAAGATAGCATCAACAATTTTTTTCTTTTGTGTTCCATGGCCCACAGTTTTGTAAAGCATTTCAAACTTGGTTTCTTGCATGTGAAGAGTTAAAAATCTTTATGTTTCATGGATAGCCCATTCAAAAGAATTAAATTTGGTGTACACCAAGGTTTACCCCAATGTGGAAACACAATATTTTACCTTGGTCTACAATAAATACAACTATAATCATGTCAGACCATACCAGATCAGAACTTATTTCAATCAGATCAGAACCAATTAAATCAGATGAAGAGAACAAGGCCTAAGAACACTGAGTGGTTGGAGCAGAATCTTTACTTAAACAAGTTGAAACGTCGACACCAACAAGTGACAAGTCTTTGCGCAGCTCATCTGCATTCTTGAATTGAAAGCCTTTAAATCCAGCTTCATTGGCTGCTTCAACATTCCCTAGTCTGGTGAAGTATACAACTCTACATTATGCAATCTTGGAGTATTCGTGTAAAATCTCAAATTTATGGGAGTTTTGGCACGAATTTTTACTATAAAAAAATCCAAAAAAACATGATATATTATCACCTGTCATCAACAAAAATGCAGCTGCCTGGCTCAATATTGAGATGTTTCAGAACATCCAAGTACAAATTAGGGTCAGGCTTCCGCTTTCCTGTATTCGGAAAAAAAGGAAAGAAAAGAAATATGGAAAAGTTTGGCCCATATTCACTGTGATAAAACTAAAGAGAGATAAATGAGTTCATAAAAATTGAGTTAAAATAGCTAATCAATTACGGAGTATATATTTGTGTGAAGTTTGGCCCATATTCACTGTGATACAATTAACCATCACCCAATTATAGATTACATCAATGAAAAGAGGAAAAAAAACTATGACTAGGGCATTTTCATTTGAAACGACAATAAAATAAAGTAGAGAAACAAAATAACATACAAATGGACTATACTCAGTTACGGAGAAGTATTTATGTGGGCCCCACATTCTCCAATAAATTTAGGCTAACGATTGTTTGGCCTATCAAGGCTACACGTTATGCTTTTGTATTTTGTGGGTCCCACTTTTTTCCAAATCGTGATAATCGAAGAGCAAAGAGTTAGAGACCCGTCAAATGGACTAAATGCCATGTTCTAGATTATTACTCCGTAATATAATAGGATCCATCTCTAGAATCTTAACAACAAAAAACATGAGAAAGACTTGTTTAAGGCTTGGCAAGTGGTAACTGCATTACACCCACAAGCACAAATTTGAATTGTACTTGTTTGGAAACTTTGAAATGGCTCTTATTTGGATATCCTTTGAGATTCATTCCGTATCAGATTTTGACCTCAAATGCAACCATTTCTATATATCAGAAAAGATGTGTGTGTGTGTGAGAGAGAGAGAGAGAGTACCCATTAGACACGAACAAAAAGTCCAAGATAAGTAATTTGAAAGTTTTAACTTGTCTTCAATCATTATGTACCTGGGAAAAAGTGTGAAGAGCATCATGAATGATGTGTTATAAATCAAAGATATTTACATTGAACCTACCAAATAGGATAGTTTGTGAAAGCATGAATTTCATAACCATTTGCCTTTAACACACTAAGTAATTCCTCGACACCTTCGATGTAAGAATATCCTCTTCGCATGCAGTTTTTGAGGCCTATGAATAAAATTTTGTGTTAATTTGATTGTGTCTGTGACAGGTACCTTCGGTTTTCCTTTTAGCTGATTGAAAAATAAAGCACAACAAAAAGTTACAATATACCTTCGAGATCAAAAGATCTCTCATCTTTAAAGAATTTCCTTTCCAACTCAACCTGAAAAATAAATATCATCCATAGAACATTATGACTTCAAGTCTTCAATACCCCAGATGCAATAAGAGTTTTCAGATATCATATGACATATCTTTAAAATAAGATCACAAAAAAATATCAACACTGACAAAAAAACAGTGTAGATTGAAATGAAGAATTTGGCAGACACCTATAACAACAACAACAACAATAGAACCATTTAGTTCCAAATTACATAGGTCTGCTAATGTTAGCAGGATATTATATTTTTATGAGAGAAGAAATATGCACACATTCCTTGGTAGATAGAGTTTGAACTTAATCAAGAATCTCATATACCTCATTTATTTCCCCCTTCTCGAACTCAATCCATGCAGTTGGATGCTTGCTCTCAAGCAATTCCTTCATCGCCATTCTGCATTGGAATTCTCAGAATTTTATATTCCATCCGTCTCAATGAAAAACATTTCTCATAAACACCTCCGTCTCATATAAACAAATTTCAACCATACACTTTTCACTTTTCAACAATTTTCTTAAACACCATGAAAGTCAAACTTGGTAATGTTTTTTGAGATGAAGGGAGCATTATATACTCCCCCCATTCCATATTAACTTCCCATGGTACATTGAAAACGGAATGAATGTAGACATAATGTATGTGTACATTCTTTCATTTTTCAAGAATCATAAAAGTCATAATGAATAGTTAATATAGAATGGAGGGAGTATACGCCTATGTGAGAGCAGTAAAATGTGGGTGCGTCACTAACTTCCAGGTCTGTGCAGTTCAGTTAAGTTGAGTAAATTTCAGTCGAAAAGAACATTCTCTAATTTCAGAATAAGATTGAGCGAGGGAGGGAGAAGAGTGAATACCGGAAGAAGGCGGGGACATCGTGATAAAATGGATCGCGAACAATTGTGTCCATGACGTCAAAAAGGAGTATCGGAAGCTTCCTTTGGGGTTGAGCCGCCATAGCTGAGGAAGAGGTACTGCTACGACTGTTCCCGGCGACAGCGGGAGGCGCTCCTCCGACAGGTTTTGGAATCAAAGGCGGCAATCGGTGGTAGCCATAGAACCGCAGAGATGGAATTGGGGTTATTCGGGAAGTGGGTGATATGAGCATAGACATCCTACTTTGGTTTGAAAATACTCAAAATAGGAAAAAATTAACAAATTGAAATCCTTTTTAGTTTTAGGAAAAATTACTCAAAATAATCCCAACTTTACCTGGTCTTTCAAAAATAATCTCACCTTTCACTGTGATACATAATAATCCCAACTTTACTAAAATTTGCCAGTTTTGGGTCGCCGTTAAGTTTCTAACGGAGGGTTAACGGAAATGCCCGTTTTATGCAACAAAATGAAAGTTGGGATTATTTTTGATGAATTTTAATTTTTTAATTTTTTTTGAAATTTTTATTTCAATTTTTTGAATTACTTTCAACCTCCATTTCTTTTTCTTTTTTAAAGATTATTCTTACCTTAGAAAAAAAATAGATATAAAAAATAATGAAAATGAGAAAAATAACTAAAACCATACAAAATTAATCAAATAAATAATGTAATCAATAGAAATTAAACAGAAACTGGTAAGAAATAAAATAAATATATATGGAGTGGTGGGTTTTAACATTTTACACACTATACGGAGTCTTAATGTACTACTTATTTTTTAAAAGAACAAGTCGTCCGGCAAAGTTGGAATTATTTTAGATAATTTTTTCTCAAAAATAAGAAGTGATATGTTAATACTTTGTATAATGCGTAAAATATTAAAACCCACCCGTATATTTTTATTTTACTTTTACCAATTTCAAGTTAGTTTCCATTGATTACCTTATTTATTTTATTATTTTTGTATCATTTTAGTTACATTTCTCATTTTTTCATTTTTTATATCTATTATTTTTATTTTTTAAACTAAGACTAATCTTNAAAAATAAGAAGTGATATGTTAATACTTTGTATAATGCGTAAAATATTAAAACCCACCCGTATATTTTTATTTTACTTTTACCAATTTCAAGTTAGTTTCCATTGATTACCTTATTTATTTTATTATTTTTGTATCATTTTAGTTACATTTCTCATTTTTTCATTTTTTATATCTATTATTTTTATTTTTTAAACTAAGACTAATCTTAAAAAAAGGGAAAACAAATGACGATGGAGGTAGAAAGTAATTTTAAAAATTTAAATGAAAAATTTAAAAAAATTTAAAAAATGAAAATTCATCAAAAATAATCCGAACTTTCATTTTGTTGCCTAAAACGGGTATTTCCGTTAACCCTCCGTTAGAAACTTAACGGCGACCCGAAATTGGCAAATTTCAGTAAAGTTGGGATTATTATGCATCACAGTGAAAGGTGGGATTATTTTTGAAAGACTGGGTAAAGTTGGGATTATTTTGGGTAATCTTTCCTTAGTTTTATACGGAGTACTTTCTAACCCTAAAAAATCATGTTCAGCTTTCCGGCCCGGTTCTAGTGACACCGGAAAACGGTGCCACTAGCGGTGCCACTACATTTTTGGGCACTTTTGATCTTCCGTTCGTAAAATTGACGGTTCCTACCCCCTAACCCATCTCCTAAACCCCCACCCTACCCCTACCCCTGCACCCCACCCCAATCCCGTCGTAAGCCTCCACAAAATGTGTGGCTATTATGCATTTATGCAAAATGCATAATAACCACACATTTTGTGGAGGGCTTACGATGGGGTTGGGATGGGGGTAGGGTGGGGGTTTAGGGGGTGGGTTAGGGGGGTAGAAACCGTCAATTTTACAAACGGAGCACTGAAAGTGCCCCAAAAAGACAGTGGCACCGTTCTCTCATGTCACTAGAACCTGGCCGCTAACTTTCACATAGTTTTCAAAAAAGTGAAAAAAGTACAACATAAAATTACTCACGAGTTGGCACAAATTTTATTGAAATAACTCTTAGGTCCGTATATTTTTAATAAAACAACAGAGATCATTGCATTTTGTTATCATGACTAAGAGAAAATATTTAATCCAATACTTCATCCATAGACATTAATAAATGTGTTTTTTCCTACTTTGCCCATAATGTTTTATGGTAATAATTATTAATTCTCTCTGTTTTAGGTGTCTTTGTTTTTCTTTTTTTATTGTATTTTTAGAACCGGTTTTTAAAATTTTCTTCTAGAAAATAGCATCAAAAATTTAAAATTCTTTGAAAATTATAAAAATAAATGAAATAAAGAAATTTCCTAAAAAAATGACCGAGTAAAATTAAAAGAAACTGAAAAATAAAGCAAACTTTTTTTCCTAGAAAGTCATCAAGATTCTTTTTTAATACTCTGTATTTTTCTTTTTTGAGAAGGTTCTTATCTCATTAATTTCATATATCATACACAAATTTAAAATTTTAGAACTATTTTCTAGAAGAAATTTTAAAAAGGCCTTAATGAAAAAAATAGAGTTAAAAAAGAGAAACAAGAAAAGGAAACAAAGAAACTAAAGGAAAAGGAAAAGCCTAGGTGTTTTTTTGACTTTCTGTTTTTTCTTGCGCAGTTCCAGAATACTTGTCCATTTGGAGTAATTTGTTCTCCTGTTCCTTGTAATATGTTGTTTTCATTGACTTTTGGTGATGAAATATATTTGCTTTCGGTTCAAAAGAAACTAAAAAATGAGGGACCTAAAATATATTATCGTAAAACATGATTTCGAATCTAACAGAGCATCATAAAGCTCCTAAATAACTCGATATCATATTATGACACCAAGTATCAGTCTCCAAAGAACCAACATTTGCTCATTAAACTTTAATCAAGTTTATAATTTAAAATAAAATTTATTTATGTTTTCAAAACCTACACAGATAATCCAACTACCTGTTTAGGATTTTCCCCAAGGGAAAACTTGTGTAGCATGGGATGGAGCAATTTAACGGTCAGTCTTGTGACACAACAAACAGTTGCTTTTTTGGCCATGAATGAATTTAGTGCAATTTCATCATCTTTTTTTTCCAATATTTGTCACAACAAGAACTTCCAATTAAAATCCTATAGATAAAATTGATAAGAATTAACTGACTATACAATGTAAACAAGCAGACTACATCTAACACCTCTCATATATACACACACACACACACACATTAGATTTTGGTCTGCAGAATGTAGTTTCTTGTCATGGCTGAACAGAAGAGCCCAATGACACAAACATAAAAACTAACAAAAACACTAACACAAAACACCCAAACCGATATCGGTCCTTCATCGTCCCTATCCTCAAACCTCATCCCATGTTTCTCTCCAATGTTTTTCTTTACCACGCACCCATCCCTTGAGGGCTCCACGCAGAGATCAGGGTTCCCAGAAAATGCCCCTGAAAATCTCCAATACCCTTGATTCAGATGGACAATTCCGGAAAAAGAGTTGAAAGACATGTCCAAAACAGTCAAATTGCCAAGACCTGATATATTCTCAGGAACTTGTCCTGATAAAGAATTGTGGGACAAATCCAAGGCCTTCAAGCTCTGCATTGTCGTCCCTAGACTCCCGGGAATTCCACCGTCAAGAAAATTGTGCGACAAATTCAAATACTCCAAACCGCGCAAGCCAAACAGGCCCTCTGGGATTCCACCGTGCAGCAGATTATCAGACAGATCGATTCCAGTTATGGTCGAGAGATTGTATCTGAATCTCAATCCGGTTCTCTCGGCGACAGTCACAGACACTTTTATGCTGAGCCCCCGCGATGAAATTAACAGGTTTGCAGGGACTTGTCTCGCAATATCGTTGAAACTCAGAGTTGTGTTAGAGTTCGCGTCAGGGATGGAACCGGAGAACTTGTTCCCAGAGAAGTCGAGTGTGTTGATCCCCTGAAAAGCGAATAACCAGCTGGGAAGACCGCCAGTGAACCGGTTCTGGGAAAGGGAGAGATACCTAAGATTAGACCATTTGGTTATTGCATCATTGAGAGGTCCAGAGAGGGAATTGGAACTGAAATCCACAACCTCCAGAGACTTGCACCCAGCCAGAGTCAAAGGAACTTCTCCAGAAATCTGGTTGTGGCTTATGTCAAGAATCTTCAAGCTGTCTAAGGCGTCGAGCTCAGGCTGGATTTCACCTGACAGATTGTTGTTGCTCAGCATCAGAGCTAATAACTGGAAACACCCGACAATGTTCAAAGGAATCGACCCAGAGAGGGAATTGTGAGAGAGATCAATCACCTGTAGATAAGTCAGGTTCCCAACCCTTTCTGGGATTTCTCCAGTTAGAAGATTATGAGAAAGAACCAATGCTTGAAGACTCTTCAGCTCAGTGAATGACTCAGGAATCGTGCCCGAAAATCGGTTGTGGGACAAATCAAGAAGCAAAAGATCCGATTTTTCTGGAGATTCGACAATGGTATCCGGAAGATTCCCAGACAACTCATTGAAACTCAAATCCAACATGACCAACCTCTTCGAGAACACGAATCTGGGGGAAATCCCATATCTCAGACCATTGAATGACAAGTTCAGCTGGGTTAAACCTCGGAGGTCGGAAATGCAAGTTGGAACCCCTCCAACAATATAATTGTTAGCTAAATTGAGAACTGAGAGTGATTCTTTCAAAGAAGAGAAGCAAGGCAAAGGCCCCGAAATCCGGTTGGACTCGAGATTCAAAAACTTTAACTGTTGAAGAAAATCACCAACTCTACCCACCAAATTGTTAAACCCTAGATTAAGCTTTTCCAAATTCGACGAAAAATTTCCCACCCACAGTGGGATTTCTCCACTTAACATGTTATGACTAAGGTCGAGAGCAACCAATCTGTTCAAATTCTCGAGCAGGTCAGGAATTTTACCAGAAAACGAGTTGAAGCTGAGATCTAAAGTCCTGAGATTCAAAAACTGACCGAAGCAGGAGGGAATCGAGCCGTTGAAGGCGTTGTGAGATAACGATAGGGTTTCCAGAGATGTGAGATTGCACAGAGAGGGATGAACCGGGCCTGACAGGTTGAACCGGGTGAGATTGATAGCAGTGACCCTTCCGTCGTCGACAGACCGGGTGACTCCGGTCCAGTTGAATCCGCCCGGTTCCCAGCTCGACAGGCTGAGGTATGGATCCTGGAGGCCTGATTTGAACAGAAGGAGCGATTTCACGTCCTCTTGAAGCTCAACAATGGCGGAAGAGCTGGGAATTCCGGCTTTCGCGGGGTGGAAGAAGGGGAGCAGGGTGAGGAAGAAGAGATTTAGCGGCATGTTTGGTTGGAATGAAAAAAGCTTGGAAATGGATGGAATCAAAAACCCATTAAAGAGAGAAGCTGGGATTCTGGAGGGGAGAACCAGTGGAATCGCCGCCACTCCCATTAAAGCACGCCCAACATTCTTTCTTGATTTGTGAATTTGTTCAGAGGCGCCTTTTTTTCTTTTTCTTTTTTTTTACTTTAGCTTTTTCGTTGTGAATGTCGTTTATACCCTCGAGACACTTCGGTGGCTTGATTCTATTCGCCCAAAAAACAAAATGATCGGATTCTGACTTCAAACAACAATATACCATAATAGATCAATATCTACAAAAAATTGAAAAAATCGTGTAAAATAAATACGGAGTATAAAACATAGATAAAGTGTCAAAATAAGTGTTTTATATTTTTATTCTCAAAATAAAAATTTAAATTATGATAATGTGACGTTGTATATGAATATTTCACAATATTTTTTGATAATGTATATTGTAATGATTGATATTGTAAATGCATTTAAACTCATATTTCGAGAATAAAAACATAAAACACTTATTTTCGTATATTTTACCACTAGAATTCTACTTTAGTATGTTTCCCAAAATCTTGCATATATTAGGAATGAATTCAGCCACTTATGTATCAAAAGATATGCTCCAAATTATAGACCACTAGCGTGCACTAGGGGTGGACACGGTACGGTTCCGGGACGGTTCCAGTTCCGGTACCGCCACCCCTAGGTACTGTTACCGTCATCAGTCCGGACGGTACCTGTTCCAGTATTAGTACCAGCGGTTCTGGTACCGTACCGGTCGGTTTCGGTCACCCTCCTTTTTTTAAAAAAATAGAAATGTAATTGTTAAAGTAAATAATGAAATAAAATATCTAAAAATGTATTTGTTATTTAAATATTGAAAAATGAGTAATACACGAACAACTACATTTAATATCCTGACGGTTCAAAAAAACGACGATGTAAAGAACCGTAAAGAAACCCTCGAAGGAGTTTATATATTGCTCACCTAAAAAACTAATTACATTAACATAAAAAAAAGTTTATAACTTATTCCTCGGAACTAGGACTTCCATCTGTGGTTGCATTCATGTAATGTTCAGAATTAATTTTGTACCCTCGCTTTTGAGCTCGACGTCTTGCCAAGAACCAATCTTGGTTGCACAAAGTGTCTCAAGCGATTCAGTGCTAAGAAAACTTCGATAGTCGGTTAGAATGTTGCCGCTAGAACTGAACTCTTGTTCCACAGCTACGGTTGATACCGGGACGGATAAAACTTGTCTGGCTAGCATTCCGAGACATGGGAACATGTGTTCGTTCTGCTTCCACCATGCGAGGGCATCAAAGTCTACGTCGTCGTCGTCGTAATCGCATGGCACCCCTTAGTACATAGAAGTTCGTTGTGCGACTTTACAATTGTACCACCTGAACTCGTCAAAGCATGACCACGCTTACCTTTTTTGCCAAAAGCCCATCGACTATCCCTTTAAACCCTTTTTTTGCTTTGGGAGGCGGAGGAGGTGCTGTTTCTTCTGGTGCATTACCGTATATTCCTTAAAATTCTTTAAATAAAGCCTCAAAAAAGATTAATAGCATTATCTCTTTCTTCTGTCCATTCTATTAAATGGTTGTAGTAATAATTATTTTCATCTAAAAAATAAGTGTAGTAATATTCAATCAGAATTTGACGATTTTCAATCTTAAATCGAGGATGACAAACAATACCAATTTTATAATTATCAAGAATGTACAAATAATAAGCACATCATTTATCCCTCATAGGAGAGGCATAGGGGTACAACTCTAGATCAGATAAACTTTCACGAAAACATGTTGCAATTGTAACACACGTTTTAAAAAATTTATTTGTTGTGGGTTGGTAAACATGCGAGAAAGTAAGAGTTGCGTTATTAAAAACCTCTAATATGACATTCAATTTTTTCAACAATAATAAATTATTTAATGTAATCATAAAATGAAGTTCATTCTTAAGAAATGCAGCAAGTTCCTCTTTGTAGCTTATAATCTGTGCTATCAACTTGTATGTACTATTCCATCTAATGGTGATATCTTTAGCAAATGTTATTGATTTTCTAACCTTAGATTTACAGTATAACTTTTAGGCTTTTGTATTAACACGACTACCCCAAATCTTTTTAATTCCATTTCTAATATTCGTCAACCCCCATAACTTCAAATCACTGAGGAACACATAAATTTAAAACATGACAGACAAACCTTTGATGTAAAATCTACCCATACTCGTAGTAGGGGGATAAATTTTTTTAAGTCTATGAATAACAGCAGTATTATTAGTAACATTATCAAAAACCAAATGCAAACACTTTATTAACTAAATTGTATTCTTGGAGAATACGCTCAAACAATAGAAAAATATATTCAGCAGTATGAGATTCATTGAAATCACGAAATGCACGAACACGTTTATGCATAATCTAGTCACTATCAATCCAATGACAAGTAACACTCATATAAGATAAATTATGACATGTTTCACTTCAAATATCAGAACAAATAGTAACACAAAAACTGGAGTTGAGGTGGTAGGTCAAGACACTTTTTTTCTCGCCGCTCCATATATTATTATTTAAATATTCATTAGTATAAATTAAAACAACTTCAATAATACTCTCAATCCCCCCTCAGAAGTATTCAATAATCAAATTTCAACTATTTTACTTTTTTTTTAATTTTTTTAACGAATATGATTAGAGCACTCTCAAATAGATCATATTCTTTTTCTAATACTCCCTCTCAATAAATAATCCAATCTTTGTGCGTTGAGTGTGTATATGAAATATACTTGTAAAACTAATTTCTAGCTTTTTTAAACACTTCTGTCATTACAAAAAGAAAATGACACTTTAACTTTTTAGTTAAACTGCACTAACTCTGTTCCAGAGCATTTGTTCAGTTTTGACTTTTTCAGTCAATCGTTTTCAATCTTTGATCTATAATTAAATAAAATAAATATTCTGTTTTAATTAGATAAAATAATATTTTTGAAAAATATTTGATATAATAAATCTAATAAAATTATTTTTGTATTAATATCTAATATTATTTTAATTTAATTTGAAGTCAAAATTTACCAATTTGACCAAAAAATGTCAAAAGTGAACAAATACTCCTGAATGAGGGAGTATAACACAGATGATGTCAATTAAATGAACAAAATATATATAATTACTATGTTGTTCACTATTTATAGTTAAAGTGTATCATAATTTGACTAAAAAAAATCAAATTAAAATTATGTTTTTAGAATAGATTGAGTAAAAAAAATTAAAGCGGGAACTTAAGATGAAACATATCAAGTCAATGATTGGCAAAGGGACAGCAATAAATGTTTGTCTCCTTTCCCCATCTTTGAATTCTCTGTTCACATATTGAAAACTGGAATTCATTTCTTTCTCATGGCCCAAACCCATCTTCATCTTCACGCCTCCTCCATATTAATCCTCTCAATCCATGGCCGCACCTCTAATTAGCGTCATCATCACCATATTCTCCTTTCCCCTGACCCGATTCCATCTCCTCCTCATCTTCCTCCACTCCCTGTTATAGCAGATCTGGTTCGAAAATGGCGTCGGTGTTTCTGTACCACGTGATTGGGGATCTGACGGTGGGGAAGCCGGAGCTGGCGGAGTTCGCCGAGACTGAGACGGTGGAATCGGCGATCAAGGCGATCGGGGAGTCGACTGAGTGCGGAATTCCGGTTTGGAGGAAGAAGAGCGCCGCGGTGGCGGAGAGGGCGGAGATGCGGCAGCAGAGGTTTGTCGGGATCCTGAACTCGCTTGACATTGTAGGGTTTCTGTGTAGGGAGGAGTGCTTGGCGGATCGGGAGAAGGCGATGAAGACTCCGGTGGCGGAGGTGGTGGTTCCTAACAATTCGTTGCTCAAGGAGCTCGATCCTGCCACCAGGTTAGTTATGGGCATGTCTGCTTAATTTGTCATGCTAGCAACACAATCCATTAAGTTTAAAATCAAAAGTTTGACACCAATTATTTCACAATATATATACATAAAATCATTGTTTGAGTATGTTTGGGAAATACTTGGTGTTAAACTTGGTGAGCTTCTAACATTCTTTTAGGCTCCTTTGGTACACAGAATTTAAACTATGAAATTGGAACTTGAGACAACGATTCCAATTCTGCTGTTTGATGGCAAAAAAATATGTGAATTTGAAATTAGTAGTGCCAAAAATGAATTGGAATTGGAGAATTCAATTTCATCCAAATCAATTTCATAAAATTTCAATTTCTAATTCAATTCTAATTCCATTAATTCCTTGTAGCAGACGGACCCTTAGTGAAATTGGCGCTAAATAGTACTTAAACGTATATTTTTCCAATGTAAAACTTAAATTTTTTAATTCTCTGAGTGGTACTTGAATAATGTTTAGTGATAGGAACAATGTCTAGTAATTTTGGACATTTAGTTTGAGTAATGTCTAGTGGCGGTGGACATTTACTTGGAAAATAATTACTGGGCATTGAACAGTGGTACTACATTTGGAACTAAAAGCATATGTTACTAAATTGAGAAAGTCATTATATTTTAGTATTATTTAGGTATATTTTCCAGAGATATAGTTTAACCCGTCAAGAACGAAAATAAAATTTCTTTAGAAATATTGTAAGAATTAAATTTATACCATAACTAAATAGGGAGTTCGATTTATTAGTTTATTTGCAAATTTCTGCCAACATTTGTGAACCTAAATTTCGATTGAGTATTTTTGGATTATATGTTGTCATCAATTTTTGTATAAAATTAAAGTGAAATTGTGTGATTTTCACTTTTTAGTTTTTTGGCTGCATTTCCAAATTTAGAAATCTTATCCAAAATATTTACGCTAATAAAAAACGTTGGCCTAAAGAACAATTTATGGATTATTTTTCAAAAAATGAAGACCATTTATGTAATATACTAGATTTGGGGTCTCAATATGAAACCATCTGTAATTCCGGACCATTTATGAAATTTTATTCTTACACCTAGTTTTACATGAGATTTGCCTGGAAATAGCGTTAATGCCTTAGAAAATATTTTAATGATACAAATTAACATTAAAAACGTTAACTCTAAAAAGTCTCTTTTAAATTATCCTTTCAACTTATTTACTTCTTCTTACATAGTTACATTATCATATATACTAGATTGATAGATGCATTGGAGATGATGAGGCATGGGGTGAAACGGCTTCTGGTTCCAAAAGTTGTAGTCTGGAGAGGCATGAGCAAGCGGTTCTCCATTCTGTACAATGGCAGATGGCTCAAGAACATCCCTACATCTCCAAACCCCAACCAATCATCATCTTCATCTTCTTCATCTTCATCTTCAAACAGGTTCTGTTGCCTCTCCAGAGAAGACGTCATCCGTTTCGTCATCGGATGCCTCGGCGCGTTGGCCCCTCTCCCCCTCTCCTCCGTCTCCGCCCTCGGAGCCATCAACCCAAACTACCCCTCCCTCGAAGCGTCCCGCCCCGCAGTGGACGCCGCGACCCTGGCGGCCGCCCTGGACCCCTGCGCGGTCGCGGTCGTGGAGCCCACCGCGGATGGGTACAGCAAGATCGCTGGGGAGATCTCGGCGACCAAGCTTTGGAAGTGCGACTACTCCGCTGCGGCATGGGCCCTGGCCAACCTCTCCGCCGGACAATTCGTCATGGGGGTAGAGGACGACAACGCCGCCCCTTCCAAGTCCCTCCCGGATTTTGCCTCCGCGAATCCCCCGGTTTTGGGGTCCACGAGTAGGATGAGGAAGTTCAGCAGCAAGAGCATTGGGTTCTTTGACAACAACAACAACAACAACAACATCAACAAGAACAGTTACCCCGCGGCGAGAAGCATGTACCGGGGTAGGACTGCGCCCTTGACGTGTAGGGCCACGAGCTCGCTGGCGGCGGTCATGGCGCAGATGTTGTCTCACCGCGCCACGCACGTGTGGGTGACCGAAGCCGAGAACGAAGAGAGGTTGGTTGGGGTGATTGGGTACGCTGATGTCCTAGCTGCTGTCACCAGAGCTCCTCTGCCGCCGACGGGTTTTATCACGGTGGTCCCGGAGAAACAGGCATTTTGAAGACCAAAACTGTCATAAATATATAGCCCTAAACTACGCTTGTAGGACATTATGGGGTTGTTGCTATGGCCTTATGGGTTTGTGTTCTGTTTGGTTGGCTTGTTTCTCCTTCCTTCTGATGGACAAGACAGATTCTTTCTCATTGAAATGGTGTGTATAGTAAGTAAACTAGAGAATGTATAGAGTGCAATAGTTTAAAAACAATAAGGTTACTCATATAGTTTATGAGGTAAATGGTACGGAGTAATACATTTTTTTGTGTTTTTACAATTCTTCTTAATCCATTCTTCTGTTGTATATTAACAATATGTTTGGTTAAACGAATCAGAAAGGAAAAGAAAAAAAATGATTTTCTTTCATTTTCTTCCCAAAAAATGACTCGTTCTGAAATTCGAAATCAACTCTTTCAAGAATCTCCTACAAAAATGCACTCTTAATATCCATTTTTTTTCTAAACGCAAAGGGTAAAAGTGACTGGCAAAGAAAAACATACGCCGTAAGTTTTTTTATTTATAAACATGTTAGAATACATGAAAGAAAATGTTACCCTCTTTTGGTTTTAGTCAGATAAATATTCAGAAAGGAAGTTAAAATCCGAATCCTCATCAGATTCACACCTATTTCTTTCACCAGTGAATGAATCTTCATCTAAGCCTCCATGGATTTCCTTTTCCTTTCTGTACAAACCCCGGCTTCGATCCAAGAACCCTCGGTCCATCATACCCGCCAGCTTCTCCCTCAGACCAACGAGAGGGTGCCTCTCAATGAGTCGCCCGCGGTCGTACGCCTCCCTGAGGACGACCGTTTGGGTGTCGCCCTTCTTTGAAATGTAAAAAATCCCAGGGTGCCTCTCAAAGATTCTGGTGAACTTCTGAGGCAAGCCCAACGGTTTTCGGAGATTGCTTGTGTTTTTCCTCTCAGTCTTCTTGTGTAGTGTGAGGTGCAGAAGCTCGTGGAAGACTCCCACGTTTCTCTTCTCTGAAACATCCGTGCGTGGGTCCAAACATGAGGGGTCTGCAAAGGGAGAGGTGTATGGTAGTGACTGCCACTCCTCTAGCCACTCCATGAACTTCCTCTTCAGCCCAAAGCCCCTTGGGAATCCAATGGGGAAAGCCAATGCCGCGCCGTTTTGACTCATTTGCAGATGGGAAACTGCTAAGCTGTGATCCCAAGCTAGAAGCTTTAGCCCCACGCGATCATCGGGCAGACGAACTGAAGAGAACATAGCTGAAGAGTTAGTGGTGAAGATCTTTTCGTAGTCATTCGGCAGACCCATATCCCACATGAGCTGATCAAGTGTTTGTATGGGAAGCATTCTTTCCTTTGTAAGCATGAGAAGCTTCTTGAGCCTGTTAACAGTGTCAGTTTGGCACTCTTTTCTTATCTCAATCTCTTCTTGGTGAACTTCTAGAGCAGGGGGAGTTAGTCTGTAGCAAGGGACTGGAGTTCCTGCAGAATCCCGGTGATAAAACTCCTCGAAGATGTTCGGGTATCGTCGGAGGAATGTGGAGAGCTTGAGGTCAAGGGGGAGGCCAAGCTGGCCCCGGTGGCGGCGGAGATGGTAAATGGGAAGCCAACCCAGCCGCTCTGAGCCGACGGCTGAAAGAAGAATTGATGCGGCTTTAAGATCTCTGCCGCCGGTTACGGCGGCGTCTAGGGCACTGTCTTTTGCCCATTTCACCTTTGCGTTAACTAGGCTTCGCTTCTGGTGGTGTCTGAAAGCGGAAGTGCAGTTTTCTCCTGGCTTAGCTCTCTTCAGCATTTCATCGAACAGGATGCGCGCACTCTCTGATGCTGAAGAAATATGTCGCGGCTGAGGTTGTTGTTCCCAGATGTTGAAACGGCAGATGTGTTCGCATTAATATAAATTGGAGGGTAGCCCAGCCCATGAAACATTGGGCCGGACATATTCAACGTTTTGGGCAACCTGTTATTGTTTTTAATCTAATTTTTTTTAAAAATCAATCTGATATAGTATAATTTAAACTTAATCCTGATCTGGTCTAATTGGATTCCAACAAGAATAGTAATAATAAGTAGAATATATAAGTTGAAGAGAACGAGTTTAAAAAAAGGATGAGCCACGTCCCTCAATCCCTTGGAAAGGGGCGTCGAAGAAGGTGAGAGAACGAGTTTAAAGAAATAATAAAGTCTTGTTTGACATATTGATGATGGTCTCGTTTGGTAGCAACTTTAGAACTTAGCATTATTGTTTTTAAAATATTATCTAATGATAGTCTTTAGCGTTAACAATTTTAAAATTATTCTACATTATTAAAATATACTCCGTAATTATTTTAAAAATTATAAGATTTTAGAGATGGATCAAAGAAAGAATTTTTTTTATAGAAAATGGCTAATCACACCAACTATTCCATGACTCTCAGGTGGTCAAAATAATGTGGAAAAAAGTCATTTTAGCGGAGTTTGAAATGGGACAAGGACAATGCCAGTTCATCCATTTTTAGAAAATGGCTAATCACACCTTTGACCAACTAAGAAGATAACATCAAAAGCCGAGAGAGAGAGAGAGAGATGTATATAAAGAGAGAAAGACAGTTTGAAAAATTGCGAAGAAATTCCAGTCCAAACTCCAACACAAAATCACAAATCACGCAACTTCCCACCGCTCGGATTCCCACGCGTTCCTTCAAATCCATAAACCCGTCTTCTCCAGGCGTTTTCTACAGGATAGTTAACAAGAGGAATTAAACTCCGGTTTTGTCTGTATATACATTGATATACTGTTTGCTGTTGATTCTGTTCGTGGTGGGAGTTCTAGGAGATCTGCAATGGCGGATCTGAGGTTTTTGGCGGTGCTGGTTCTGTGGGCCGCTTTTGCCGAGTCGAATGACAATTTCGTGTTCAAGGTGAAGCACAAGTACGGCCGGCGGGGGAGCTCCGTCTTGAGAGAGCTGAGGGCCCACGATTCCGCGCGCCACCGCCGGATGCTGGCTGCCTTTGACTTTGAATTGGGCGGAAATGGCCTACCCACCGATGCTGCGTAAGCCTTCCCCTCTCTGTCTATCACAATTAGTTGTATTTTATACAGTATTTGGTTAGTATATGAATTTTGCTGGCTGATGTGAGTAGTTTGAGCTGCTTTGTTTGATTTTGATCTTTAGATCCAATCCAGATTCACTTTTCTTTCTGAAAAAAAGAAAAACTTACTACTGACTTATGGTGGAAGTTGGCAAGTTGCTTTTGTCTACTATGCCTTCAACCATGGGGAAACACTCAAGCGCAGTTAGGTCCCTTCAAACCCATTGGCAATAGAGAGTAGTCACTAAACATAAATGTTGGTCCTCCTGCTTTTAATACCAATGTAGGACACCAACCCTTGTGTGCAACTTCAAGAATCTCCACTCCCATGATTGAGTTCCTTTAGCCGCATCACGCCCCCCCACCCCCCAGAGCTCTTCCAATGGCGAGAAAGTTTTTCTACTTGTGAGAATTTTTTGTGATGAAAAGTATCCCATTGGAGAGGTTTTAATATTTTCCACGTGAGAGGTTATTTTGTCACTCTATCCATAGAAAATTTTCTATTGTTGGGATGAGAGGGGAAGTGCTTTCTCACCCTTGGGAAAAAAATATTACTCAAAAATTGATGATGTGGATGAAAGGAAAAGTTTAGAGAGAGATTGGTGATGATTTTTTTTCTCACTATTGGGAGTGCTCTTGATGGAACTTCGGTACAATGCTCCAACTACCATTTGAAACACACTACAATCGTGCATCTTATCAAATCCACCAGAGTGCGCACTACAACATCAAGCAAAAAGTTTTATCCCTAAAAAGAAAGTGTGAAAACATATGTTGACTTGTGATTGTGAAGGGGACAATAAAAAGGTAAGTATGTCATTTAGTTAACATCTCTCCTTTTGCACCATTTTCACTAAAACATTTTCAGACTATGTCAGGGCCAATTTCTTCTCTTTCCCTTCCATTTTCTATCAAAACCAAACAAAAACCATACATGAGGAATTTCCTTACAAAGTTAATTTTTCTCTCCTTACATTTTGTCTCTCTTCCAATTCTCTCAATCCAGACAGCTTGTAGAGCTAGTTAGCTCATAACCATGTATACTTGCTCACCAAGTATAATTGCTCGCCACTTTCACTTGGTCACCATGCAAACACCACTATAAATGTGCAGAATGGTTAAATTTATTGCATGCATTGTCTATTTACTTTAACCAAGTATACTTTATCACCATGCCACAACCGTCTATTCCACATTAATACAATGTCTCTCACACAAGGTGACCGTTGTGAGCGGGTAATGGGTAGTGTTTGACATGTTTCGACGCCGAGAGCGAGAATCATCTTTTCCTTTTAGTCCAGAAATTCTTTAAGGCAGTCTGGAGAAGTCACCCCAAGGGGTGACACTCATTCTCTAATTAGGAAAAGATGCGCATAAGGAGTCGCAGGAATGGAAGAAAGTTGTGTCATACGCTACCAACACTTATTCTCTCGTTTCTCAAATAGTTGTTCCTAGAAGAGGAGCACTCTTGGGCTATGAATTCGACGATCTATTTTTGCTTTTTCTATTATCATTCATCATTGCCGCTTTCAACTGCGTTCGTACCTTGAATGTTGCGAAAAGGAGGAGTCAAAGGCTGATTTCCCACCAAAATAAGGTCTTTAGGAACGTAGAGGTAGAGTTTGCGCAAACCGTGGGCCAGAGAGAGGAGGAAGAATGGAAGTTACTTAATTCAATCTTCAAAGCCTACGAGGAGAATAAAATTTCATTTTAGGGGTAAATTGTCATTTTGCTTGATCTTCATTTAGCCTCTGTGGATGATCTCCAAATCTCGAACATATCTACCGGTTGTAGAACTCAGAACAACCTCAGATACATTTTTCTTTCGTATCATAGAGTGCGCACATCTTGTTCGATGAAATGCTGAAGAGAGCTAAACCAGGAGAAACCTACACTTTTGCTTTCAGACACCATCAGAAGCAAAATCTAACGCAAAGCTAAAATGGGCAAAAGATAGTGCCTAGATGCCGCCGTAACTGGCACCGCAGAACTTAAAGCAGCATCAATTCTTCTTTCAGGCATCAACTCAAAACGGCGGGCTTCGCTTCCCATTTATCATCTCCATCGCCATCAGGGCCCCTCTTGATCTAAAACTTTCCACATTCCTTCGACGGTACCCAAACAATTTTTAGGAGTTTTATCATCAGGCCCCTCTGTAAGAACTCATGTTCCTTGCCATAAACAAACTTCTCATGCTTTAGAGGTTCACCAAGAAGGAATTGAGCTACATAAAGAGTGTCACACAGACGTAGTTAACATGCTTAGGAATCTTTTTATCTTACCAAGGAAAGAATGCTTCCTATGCAAACACTTGATCAACTCATGTGGGATATGGGTTTGCCGAATGATTACGGAAAATTGTTTACCTGTAACTCTTCGGCTTTGTTTTCTTTACTTCGTCTCCATGATGATCTTGTGGGGTTAAAACTTTTAGTTTGGGATTATAGCTTAGCAGTTTCCCATTTGCAAATGAACTCATTTGTGCAAAATGGAGTTTTTTTGCTTTTCCCATTAGATTCCCAAGGGGCTTTGGGCTGAAAAGGAAGTACATGGAGTGGTTAGAGGAGTGGCAGGCGCTACCTTATTCTTCTCCCTTTGCAGATGCTTCACATTTGGATCCCCGCACGGATGTTTCAGATAAAAGAAATGTGAAGTCTCTCACAAGCTTTTGCACCTTACACTACAGAAGAAGACAGAGAGGAAAAATATGAGCAATCTTCGAAAACCATTGGGGTTGCCTCAGAAACTCACCAAAATATTTGAGAGGCATCCATGGATTTTTTACATTTCTAAAAAGCGTGACACTCAAACTGTTGTCCAGGCATATGATCACAGTCAACTCATTAAGAAGCACCCTCTCGTTGATTTGAGAGATAAGCTGGCAGGTATGATGGATCAAGGGTTTTGGATTGAAGTAGGGGTTTATACAGAAAGGAAAAGGAAATCCACATACGCTTAAATGACAATTCATCATTGTCTACTGTGATTTTGGGATAAAGCAAAAATATAGGAGGCTTAAATAAGGATCAAGCAAAAAGACAATATTATCCGTAAAAAGAAAATTTATTCTCCTCGTAGTCTTTAAAGATCGCATCAAGTATCTTCCTCCACTCTCTCTGGCACGTGGCTTGCATAATCTCTACATCTGCATTCCTAAAGACTTTTTTTCGGCTTGAAATTAGTCTTTGACTCTTTTTCGCAACATTATGGGTGTGAACGCTGTTGAAAGCGGCAAAGATGAATGATAATATAAAAAAGAAACACCAAAGCGTTGAATCCCTAGCCCAAGAGTGTTCCTTTTCAGGCACAACTCTTTGAGAAAGAAGAGAACGAGGCGAACACAAGAACGACCAACGCTACGTTGACCGGAAAGTGTTGGTGGCTTTTGATGCCGCCTTCTTCCACTTATGTGGCTCTTTATCCATATATGTAAAATCTTTTTTTCAATTCGAATATGAGCTCCACCCACCTGGGTGGCCTCTCCCAACTGCCTAAAAGGAGCTGGTGGGCTGAGAGGGAGAGAAAGCTCTCGCTCCCGGCGTCGGAACATGTCAAGCACCCACCATTACCCGCCCACAATGGTCACCTCGTGTGAGAGACATGACGTTAATGTGGAATAGATGAATGTGGCATAGCAACGAAGTAAATTTAATTGAAGTAAAATAGACAGTGCATGCAGTACATTTAATCATTCTGCACATTTATACTAGTTGTGGCATGTTGACCAAGTGAAAGTTGTGAGCAATTATATTTGGTGAGCGCGTATACTTGGTGAGGAGCTAACCAGCTCTATAGACTTTAGGCTGTTTGCTTTGAGAGAATTAGGAGATGGAAAATGTAGGGAGAGAAAGCACACTTTTTAAGGAAATTTCTCATGTTTGGTTCAAATAGAAAATGAAGGGGAAGAGAAAATTAGCTAGGATTAGAGC